GTATTTATATCATTGGCTATGTAGCAGAATTAAATTGTTCATGAATCAGTTTCTATGGACTGTATTTCATTCAAGTTTTCATTGAATCAGTGTATCTGGTTCAAGCCTGAGTGGCTGTGGGACACTACAGCTAATTCTCTGGGCCTTCTGAAAGGTGGGCAGGGCAGACACAAAGGCCAGTTTCCTGAAGTTTCTGAGCGTATACAGTTCCTTCTTCACTACTTGAAGGCTTTAAAGATAATCCTTTACCATACCAGTTGAAATGTAAATGTTCAATCTTGGTTTTAATATTCTAACTTAATAGGAGTTAGAATGACTAGTGACAAATATTTTGGTACTGCAGAATTTAAATAGAGCCAAGAGGAGCAAAATGATGAGGTCAAAAGATCACAGGCGAGGCCAGATTCTCATTCTGGTTCTGCCCCCTTTTTGGACAGTTACATTGGGTAAATAACTCGTGTTCTTTGTACCTTGGTCAATTCATCTTTAAACTTAGGAGTTGGGCTGCATTACCTCTTGTGTGGGCTGCAAAACCATACAACCTGGAAAACTGGAACAGTCCTTGTAATTATTAACAGTGTCCTCTTTCTCTCAAGTAAAATGTTCTAGTTTGGACTTTAAATGATGGTGTCACCCTACCTATTAAATACATACCAGTTTATTAGATGATGATTCTTCCTTCTATGACAGGTGAGCTAAACAGGTCTTAAATTTGGAAAACTTTAGGGGAGTACAGGACGGGAAAATCTACTGTGAGATAAAAGTCTTTGGAATTCCCTGTTTTCACCAGGCGTCCCAGACCCACTGTAACTTGTAGTAATATCTGGACAACATGTTAGTACATTTGGGCTACTTGCATATGGGTAAATCAGAGTTGAGTAAATTTCCTCAGATGATTTAAAGAAAAAAAACTACAATTAATACTGCTTTATAAACTGCCCCTGGATTAGTGGTTTCCAATTCTGACTGCATGTTAGAGTCATCTGGGGAGTTATTAAGACATACCAACTACCTGCCCCTACCCTCCTCCTCCACCAGACCAATTACAATAGAATCTCTTGAAGTAGAGCCTAGGCAATAGTATGTTAAAAAGTTATCCAAATAATTCCAATGTATAGCCAGAGTTAAGAGTCATCAGACTACATAAAAATATTGCATTTCTGGTCAATCTGTCTATCAAATTACAAGGGAACAAGGTGCCCATAAAATACTATTCACATATTTTCTCATTCAAATCCAAAATTTCAAAAGCAGATTATGCAATTTATGATTTATCTATGTGTTCATCTATTTTGGACATCTCTAAAACATCCAAATATCAAATAAAGAAGTATTTTAAGTCAATTGTATCTTTAAAAAATACTTAATTTGTCTAATTTTGCAGTTGGCATTATTAGGCCATAGCTACCCATTTAAAGAAAATTCTTGATCTGTGGTGATTCATGACTGCTTGGGGGGCTTATCACTAAGGCAGAGGACAGAGAATAGAGACAGTAGGATGATGAACCATCAGTCCCCCCCATTTGGCACTTAGTGACCAACTAGGGGTAGGAGATTGAACTTCTTACCTAGAATGGTTCATTCATTCATTACAAAACACAGGAGTTTGCCTTAAAGTACTAAGCTAACCACAACAATGAACTAATCCAGTAGTTCCCACCCCCAAGAGATTACAATATTGATTTGCCATCTGGTGGGGTATGAGTTAAAGGCAATAAAATATACACACCTGTTGACATGTTGCATTATATTCCCAGGCCAAGCCAATTGGACTTTTAATTGACCTCTGTGTTCAACAAAAAAGTCAACTAATGTCCTGGTAACAGTTGCTGAAGTGTGGAAGAAAAATGCAGGGATCCAAAGAATGGCCCCATCGAGCTTTTTTAAACTGAGGAAAAAGTTGTTACGGTCCTGAATGGTCAAAAGATTGTTGTAATATTTTTCCAGGATGCTGGGGTTGAAGGTGGTAAGGTTGGTTTTCCTTCCAACATCTCTTTGGAAAGCCTCCGTAGGGGCGAAATTGCAACGGAAAACAAAATCTGACTTATCTATTTCTTGTCCACACCGGCTCCCTGTCAGGATCCCACTATTTCCAACCACAGCACAGACATTATAATGCTTATTCACAATGGGTGACACATCTGGAAGCAGTGATCGGAAGTTATTGCTAATAGAGAAAACATATTTATGGTTGGAATAATCATAGTGCATCAGTTGTCCAATCCGAACACTATTCTTGGTCAAAGAAAAATTTTTTATTACATCGACATGCTGAAGAATTTCTTGCCTAAAATAAAAAGAAATTCATTAAATACATCCCATTCAAAATTGATTTTCCATCTTATGTCTTATGCTGCCATTTCATTCAGACAAGAATCATAGGCACATTGAATCCAAGAAAGATTATACATTCATAATAATTGTGGTCTTTGAGGGGAGACTGTTTCAGAACCTATAGACATGTTAATCTCTCAGTCAATTTGTGAATGTAATCCTTCAGGGCTTGAAAGTGTTGTAACTTAACAGTTTTAGCTGCTATTCTTTGGTTTTCTGCTCTACATGAAGAGTATATTTGATTAAGCGGAAGGCACAGGTTAAACTATGTCAGAAAGACGGGGAGACAATTGACACAGGCCCCAAGGAGCTCACATTAATGGACACACATTGGTGACTTAGAGTTTGTACTAGGGACTACTTGTTTGCTGTTGGACTGGTAACAGTTCCTGAAGTGTGGAAGGAAAATGCAGGGAATATCAAATATCACTAGTGTACAAATAAGAGCCAACTGGATATGAGTCAGTATAGTATTATCTATTATTAAAATATGAAAATGGTGATGGAAGTGGGTGTAGTTGAATATTTAATGGAAATGAGATGATAATCTCATTAAGGTCCTTTGAATAATAAAACAGGAATATTTTTCTACTTGATTATATAGAAACACAATTTAGTTGGAGATACCTAATCCTCAGAAGAAGAGGCTAGTGCAAATCCTGGAAAAGTGTGTATATTCTAAGAATTCAGAGAATAAACAAGGTGAAGGTGATACTTAGTTCTAATTTCAGGTTGCTTTCATGTTGAGCTTTTAGTAAAAGTAAGCATCTCTTAAAGTCCCAGCTATTTAAAATATTTAAGAGAACTGAGTAACTTGCTATAAGATTCTCCAGTTCTAAGAAATCACATTGAATTTTCTTTGTCTTTTGCATTAAAAAAATAGCAAGATTGAAACTAAATGCTTTGCATATCATTACTTTACCTAGAATTTTATTTTTTTAAATTACTTAGTCAAAGTACAGAGCAACATAAACTGAATGTTTAATACAAAACTTCCAAAGTTATCAATACTGCTCGTTACAAGTTGTTACAAAGGTAAAAGTAAGTTTAAAATGATGCTGGGAAAATTAATTAAGGATTACCTAATGCATGGATTGAAAGGAGGGAAGATTTGAGAAAGAAATATTGTTCTGGCTGGTCATTTGGGTCACATGGCCTAGTGTGTGAAGAATATTTTCATTAAATTAAAAATATGTTTTGGGAAAAGGAATAACGTGTCCTACCCATTAATGTTTTCTAGATTTTCTATAAAATTAATATTGTATTAAAAAACCCAATGGTTAAAAAAAGGCACTTCCTGGGGTTTAGAATTAATCAATTACTGTCATAGGTTAATTTTTAATTAAAGTGTTTTAAAAGTTTTCATCATGATCACATGATTATGTCAAAAAAAGTATGTCAACTTTTTAAGTAAATAACATTTTCACAACACCATGGATATCTATTAAATTTGCTTTAAATCTGTCATTAAATTTAAGAGTGAGGCAATAATTAGAAATGCTCTGGCCAAAACACAAATCCCCTAAATAGACTGGTAAAATAAGAATTTAAAATAAGTGCTCCCACCCCTAATGAATACACTAGACGGCCCACATTTAGCAGCATAATAATCCCACCAAGAAGGAAGGAGTAATGATTTATCTGGGGGTTGCTAAAAGTAGACCAGAGTCACTGAGGAGAATAAATACATTTGAATAAATCTAATCCTTCCTCCCCACCTCAAAAACAAAAACAACCCAAAGCCAAAACCTCAACTGCTAACCTTATAGCACATCAACTCCTTTATCTATAAAGGAGGCTGCTACAAGACAACACATAAGAATGCTATTGGGTAGCTTTTATTAAAATATTTTAATATATTAAAAACTGTCAAAGTTTAATGAAAACAAGTAGACAAAACCATTCTTAAGTACCTGCATATATTGGGGCCAAGATTTTCATAGTAATCTGACAGGGATGAATTATAGTATTTTCTGGTTGTTTCACTGAGACAATACTATTTTATTTAAACATTTTTTTCCCAGTGGGGGAATGAAAACGCATTTACAATTAACTTAAAAAAATAATGGCTTTGGCAGCCATGCATATTAACTATAAATCATGGTGCTCAACTAAGCCCAAATTATGGAGGATATTGGAAATGCCTTTTTTTCTCCCACTCAAATTGGCCTTCCTGATGTTTTCTTTTTATGAGAGGGCACTGCATACATAAAAAAGGGTTTCCAATCAGCCTTTGTACACTTAGGCCAAGAAGGCAATGCAAATACATCACATCTCAGGGTGGGGGACAGAATTTTTTTGTTTGATTATTTTGTTTTGTTTTCTTTTTTGAGCTCCAAAATTCAAAAATATCTTTGGACCTTTTCCCCCTAGCCTACCTTTGATGTAAAAACGCTGTCCGATTAAATGTCCACTTAGAAGGTTTGTCTTGAAGATCGTGGGCCAGAGAATTCGTAATGGGCACAAATGACGGATTGAGAAACTTCAGCGCAAATTGTGACCTGGAGAGTACGAGTACAGATAGACACGCTGGCCTCAGCTGGGGAGCCAAGGGAGCCATTAACGCCCCGCCGGCTGTGGGGGAGGGGGGCTGGCGCACACACGGGCTCCATCCCACCACAGGGCCCCCTCCCCTTTGGTTCACTCTCTGCTCCCCACACACACCCGGGAGGAAGAAAAAGAACTAGGGAAATCCGTTTCCATTGTCCATCCCTCTGGGTCCGGGAGAGACCATAAAATGGCCGTCTTGCGGAGAGGAGAGCAGGGGCGGGCGCGGGCGCAAGGCTGGAGCCTGATGTGCGGTGAGGACCAGGAGTCAGCACCGCGGACAGCGCCGCGCCACGCTGGTGGCTGCCCTGGCGAATTGATTTTTAGGGAAAAGGCTGAGGACTCGGGAGACCTGGGGAAGGCTCGGGGCGGCTGCTGCCTTAACCTCTTCCTTCCCGAGTGTAGGTCTGATTCACTCCCAGTCTCCGACTGGGGACCCCAGAAGCTACGGGCCCGGCTGGGCTTCTCTAGGGTTTGCGCTTCTGGCCCTGCTTGGACCACAGAGTGGCAGCTTGTATTTGCCACCCACCCAACAGGAGGCCTTGCTGTGAGAACTCCTAGGGGGTCAAAGGTAGGGACAGGGGGTCCCCATGAGTTGTGTCAAGCTGCGCCTGGAGCCTGCCCCTGCCCAGTCCAGCCTAGCTCCAGGCTGTGGCTTCGACCTGGGGCGAGGGTAGGAGGCC